TGATGATGATGATGATGATGATGATGATGATGATGATGATGATGTTGATGATGATGATGATGATGATGATGATGATGTTGATGGAGGGGGGGGTGCGGTTGCCGAAATAAAGTGGTCGGAGCTCTAGACACCCTGTGCAAGATAATAAAGTGGTCGGGGCGGAGGGGGCACTGGGCGGGCGCTGGAGCCGCGGGAGGGCGCTGAGACGGAGGGGGCGCATGATGATGATGATGATGTGGATGATGATGGTCATGATGGTGATTATGATGGTGATGATGGTGAGGATGATGGTGATGGTGATGATGATGATGATGATGATGATGATGATGATGATGATGATGATGATGATGATGATGATGATGATGATGATGATGAGGTGATGGATGATGATGATGATGATGATGATGATGATGATGATGATGATGATGATGATGATGATGATGATGATGATGATGATGATGATGATGGGATGAATGTGAGATGATGATGATTGATTTGTTTTGATGATTTTGGAAGGGGGTGCGGTGCCGAAATAAAGTGGTCGGAGCTCTAGACACCCTGTGCAAGAGAATAAAAGGGAGGGGGTCTCAACCCTCCCAGACGAGAAGTTTTAGACCCCCCCCCGTGGGAGAACCCTCCAAAACATCGTCCCCAGACCCCCCGAGGCCCTCCAAGATAGCCTGGAAGAGACCCCCCCCCCGAAATGAGCCCCCCTCCTTTTTATTACGAAATCTGGAGTATCCAGGGGGAGGTTGCCTTCGAGTGTTCTTCAATTTGGCCGGCGGGGGGTTTCGTGTTCTTGAAGGATGCTCTTTTGGCTTGGGTCTGGATGCGGAGTGATTTCTGCCTTGTTTTTTGTTGGGGGGTCGGGGCAGGCGGGGGGTTCGTGTGTTTGTCTTCGTCGTGGTCGTTGTCATCGTCTTTGTCGTCGTCGTCGTCTTTGTTGTGGTCGGTGCTGTCTTCGACTTCGTCTTCGTCGTCGTCGTCGCTGTCGTCTTTGCGTCGTCGTCGTCGTCGTCGTCGTCGCCGTCGTCGTCGTCGTCGTCGTCGTCGTCGCCGTCGTCGACCTCGCCGTCGTCGCCGGCTGACCTTTGGCCCTTCGCGCGCGCAAGGTCGGACCCCCCGTCGCCGATTGCGGGGCCCGATCCGGTGGGCGGCAGCGCGGCGGCCGAGGCCGGGCGGCCGCTGCGGTCTGGGGCCCGGGGGGCTCTCGGCTTCCCAGACAAGGGGCCCCGCGACGACGACGACGACGACGACGCCGCCGCCGACGCCGCCGACGACGACGACGACGGCGACGACGTCGCCGGTGGCCACGCGTGCGCGCGGTGAGGCCCAGTCAGGGGCAACGAAAGGGGGGGATAGGCATAGGGAGGGACGCATCGACCCCCAATCGCCCACAGATCGCCGATAGGGGTCCGATGGCCCACCCCCGCCCAGGAACGTGCGGGTTTGCTTTCGGGGGCCTATCGCCGATCGATCTGCGATGTATCGCCGATTCCAGGTCGATGCTTCCCCCTCTACGCCAGTTCTCCCCCCAATCGTTGCCCTCTAGGGGCCCGCCTTCTCCGTGGCGAGCTCCCCCGAGATCCGAGACTCAGAGGTTCGAGGCACGAGGTTTTCCCCTTAAACAGTGCTCGCAGCACTAGGGGTTCTTACTTCGGTTAACGATTTCGGGACCCTCGCCGCAAAACCGCCGCCCGTGCCGCCCGTCGCCGCCCGTCGTCGCCCGTCGCACCGCGTAGATTGCATTACATAGCACCATATATCTTATATATATGTGTATATATAGACATGTGTATGTATGTATGTATGTATATATATATATATATATAGTACACCGCATCGGCTGCATTACATAAGTTGCATCGCATACATTGCACCACATATATTACACCTCGTAGACTGCATTACATAGGTTGCATCGCACGCATTGCACCCCCTCTATGTTGCTCCGCGTATCTGGCGTTACACACGTTGCATCATCGCATACATTGCACCACATTTCTTACACCGCATCTACTGCATCGTGCCTTGCACACGCTGCACCACACATATTGCACCGCGCAGATTGCAAGAATTTGCTGTTTGGGGTCCACGCTGGCGAACGTTCCGTACATTTCCATCGGTTCGCGGCGGTTTTCCAGCCTCGGGACGCGTTCCAGCGGCTGCGCCCTGCCGACAGGCGCCTCGGGGTGCGCGGATGGTCCCGAATCAGCGGCCGGAGGCCCGAGGTATGACCCGAAGACGAGATGCGGGCGCGCCGTCCCGGAGATACGAAGGACTGCAAAAAACCAAGGATTGCAAAAACGAAGGATTGCAAAAAAACCCTAGGACGAAGGATTGCAAAAAAACCCTAGGTTTTTTTTTGCAATCCTAGGTTTTTTTGCAATCCGACGCTCCGAAACATTGCAGCGGCAGGCCGGTTTTCTGTCATTTTCGGCCCCGGGGGTGCCCCCAACGGGCCCCGGACGACAAGCTGGCCCTGTGGGGAAGTGGTGCAGACCTCCGGCGGGTCCATACGCGCCGTGCGTTTTCGTCGGGTCTCGGGCGCTGGGGTCAGCACAGATGGACCCGGCGCGGACATTCGAATAGGAGACCGGCTACGTAGTAGATTCATTCCAGAATTTGTTCGTCGAGTCTGCGAAACATGTGTGGGTTCTCGTAGATATGCGACGTTGTGCGTATTTCTTTTCTGATTCGACGAGAGAGAATCAATCAATGTTGGGGTAAATCAATTCTGTTGTCGATCTCCTGCTCGAGCAATTCCGCAGGGCGATGGGGCCCATGGGTCTCCGGTCCAAATGTTTCGCGATGTTGCATTTTTTTCAGACCCCCTAAGTCTGAGATTTCGCAGGTGAGGAAACTCTGCAACAGACGGGGTCCGTCGGTTCATCGTTTGTCTGGTTCAGGGGGATCATGCATGTCCGTGTGCTTACACGAGGAATATTCAGAAATAGTGAAGAGATAGTCTGGGGACGACTTTTCGATATTTTGTTTGACAATTTTTGAATATTCTTGGGGTATTTAAGATTCTTCGTCCAACATCCGCCTGTAGGGGGACATGCCCGACCTAAGCCTAGGGGCTGATTGATGGCTTTGGCAGCTCTCGCGGGGGCGGCGGATTGCTTCCTAGGCAGGGGCAGGCGTCTCCCAGAGCTCCACAGTCCGCCTGGCTCGGAGGCGGGAGATCAAATATCCGGCTGGAAGCTTCCGCCTGGCGTGGGGGCATGATTTGGCACATCCGTGTCATTTGGGGGCGGTCCGGACCTGTTAATTGAACATTGCACCGTTACACCATTACACCTTTTTTGAAAAGGGTATATCACTTCCTTGCACCACTTTGGAAACGGTGCCCAGTGTACACCACTACACCATCACAACATTTTGAACATGGTGCAGTATTTGCGCCCTCACACCATGACAACATAACACCACTACACCATTGCACCATTTTGACAAGGGTGTACGGATTACACCATTACACCATTACACCATTTGGGGATTACAACATCACACCATTCTGGCGAACGGTGTAAGCATACACCATTACACCATTCTGAAGAACGGTGTGTCAGCATTATTCTGGGGCGTTGATCTGCTGAGGGGTGGGGTGTCGGGCTGGCTGGCTGGATCAGGCTTCTGCATTGGAGGCGAAAACCCGCCCCTAAGGATCCCTGGGGGGGCGTCAGAAACATTCAGCAGCCCGTCTAGCCAGCCGCCGGCTGGACCAGTCTGCTGAAGGGGGGGGGGGTCGGGCTGCTGGGGGGGTGATCCCCCCGCCTAAGGATCCTTGGGGGAAGGGGGGGGTACAGAAATATCCTCAGCAGCCCGTCCAGCTAGCCGCCAGCTGGACCAGCCTGCTGAGGGGTGGATCCTTATGGGGGGTTCAGAAACACCCTCAGCAGCCCGTCCAGCCAGCCGCTGGCTGGACCACTCTGCTGAGGGAGGGGGACAGGCTGCTGTGGGAGGGGGGTCTGCTGTTCGAGGCCGGCAGGACCGAGATTGGCAGTTTTTCTAGCTCTCTGGAGCGCTTCTCGTCGCCACGGCGGAGCGTAACCCGGACAACCGGTGCTCTTTGAACCCCTCAAAAGGTCGGAGGAGTATCAACGGGCAGGCGCCGCAGGGAAATGGCGGAGTGAGGGAAGGGAAAGGATGGAGGAGCGTAGCCGAGGAAGGAGAAGGATGATACAGGACAGAATGATGATGCATTTTGGGTGCAAACTGGTTCTGATAGCTGGAACTTGTATCATAACCGTCTTCGAGTTTAGATGGGCCGTCTTGGGACCATTTTCGGCTATCTCTGAAACTTCCTGAGGGTCGCAGATTCGGTTTTGACCCTCCCCTGAGGATTACCAGGAAGGGGTCAACATCACCTCTGCGAACACGTAGTTGCGAGCTGATTTACAGCGTTCGTCTTCGCGTTCGATCTTGTATGGTGTAATACGACGTATCAAGCATGTGTTTGGCCGTGTTGAGACTTGATTGTGCCGTGTTGAAACAATTCCCGGCCGTCTCTGAGCCCTCTTGAGGGCGCAGAATGCTGTTTTGACCCCCCGCCCCAAAGGATTCGTAAGAGGGGTTCAAGCTGCACTTGCGAGCGCGATCCTGATACAACATCCATCCACCCTGTGGTGTATAGGTATAGTTGTGTAAAACCCACACCATCCCACAACAACGTGTAATGTATCAAACCTTCGCAATTCCATAGAATGGTGTAATAATGTCATGGTGTAACGCGTACACCATTCGCATTACGGTGTACTGATGTAGTGGTGTGAAGCTTGCACCATTCAGGACAGTAATATAATTATGTAATGGTGTAGCGCGTACACCAGTGTGTAACATGTTACACACATGAAATTGTGTAACGCTTTCACCGATTCCCCCAATTGTGCAATGGTGCTGCGGTGCAGGTTTCAGTTATCAGATCCAGAGCGTCCCCTACGCTGATCCCCCCTACGTCGGCCCATGTTGGCCTCGTGCTAAGGCCCTCCAGATGGGCTTGCGCCGGCCTCGCGGATTGTGCTCAGACAGGCGAGGCGCTCAAAGAAAGGAGGGGTGATAGGACAAAGTTGGTAATCAGAAGATCTGGTTACCAGGTTTTCTTGTGTGGCTGGGCATTCGTTGCAGGCTACGCGCCTTTGCCGGGCTACGCGTAAATTTGATGCTATGCACATTTGCTGGGCTGCGCGCCCATGTGCAAGCTACGCGCCCATTTGCAGTCTACGCGCCTTTGCTGGGCTACTCGCCCATTTGTAGGCTAAGCGCTTTTGCTGGGATGCGCTCCTTTGCTGGGCTACGCGCCCATGTGCAGGCTACGCGCCTTTGGATGGGCTGCGCGCCCATGAACTGGCTACGCGCCTTTGCACGGGATGCGCGCCCATTTGCAGGCTACGCGCCCTCTTGCAGGCTGCACGCCTATGCTGGGCTGCGCGCCTTGGCAACGTGCGTCGCTGGCCGCAGGCAGGAGAAGATTTGAGAGGAACATTTGGTTACCCGTTGCAGCCTACGCGCCTTCGGCCAGGATGCTCGCCCAATTGCAGGCTGCGCGGCTTTGCCGGGCGGGTCACGGAGTGGTTCCAACGGAGGGCCCCGGTGCCCAGGAGCTGTTCCCCCCAGGGCCCGCGTCGTGTCTTCCGGGCGCTGGAGCCTCCCGCATCCCCTTGGAAAAGCAGGGCAACTTCTGCAGGCCGCGTCGAAGTCGTCTGGGGGTGCTCCCTGGGGGCAGTTTTCATCCTGGGTCCGCTTCTGACGGTCTTGGGGTCCGAAAGCGGCCCTGGGAGGCCAAGAATGGGGAGAAACCTGAGGCGACGAAAACGAAGGCCGACGACGACGATGACGACGGCGGCGACGCCCGTAGCCACGCGTGTGCGCGGTGAGGCCCAGGCCTCGAGCTAAACGCTGTCCTGGCGATTTCGTGGGCCGTTTTCGTTTTGGTCTCGCTTCGCAGCAGAGGCAGGACGAAGACAGAACGACTGAAACACTGTTTAGATCAGGAGGAGGAGGAGGAGGAGGAGGAGGAGGAGGAGGAGGAGGAGGAGGAGGAGGAGGAGGAGGAATCTGGGCCTCGCGAGGGGTGCTCGCGAGACCGTGAGGGCCTGCTTGGAACTCCTTGGGACGCCCTGGGCCAGGGGCCCTCCGGCCGCCCGGCCAGGCCGCCGCGGGCCGTGGCGCCTTCGCCCTGCCGGGCCTCGCCCGCTGCGAGGCGCGGGCCGCCCGCCGTTCTCGGGAGGGGGGGCGGGGGTCGAGCAGTGGCGGAGCGTCTTGGTTCCACCTACGGTAGGGTCGTGTCGTGTCGACCAGCGGCGACCCCAGCGCGGGCGTTCAAGGTTGAACGTCGCCGGCGGCCCAGAATCGATCGATGTTGAACGATCGGACGTTGCGGCAGCGGCCGATCGTTCAAGGTTGAACGATACAGCGCGGTGTCGGGAACCAACGCCGGGGTCGGCACGACACGAACCCGCCGTACTGTTCTAGCAGCAAGTACGACGAGCAGCGAGCCGCTATCAGCCAGCGCGAGCATGATGAGCCATCGCATTGCCTCATCCAGAGCTGAATTGAGCCCTCCTTCACGGCAAGTAGGATCAACGACGAAAACGAGTGCGATGCCTACGCACCAAGCATCGCCAGCTTCACCCGCTAAGTACGACCCGTCCGTTGGCATCTGCTTCAAGCGAGGAGCTCAGGCGACGCCTGTTAACGAGTTTTCCTGTTCGCCCATTTGCGGTACCTTGGGACTGTTCGTGAATTGCGGCCGATTGTTCTTCGCCCGAAGCTCACCCGCGCCGAAGCTTAGTCGATCCAGCTCAACATCCGCAGCGGCGAGGGCACCAAGACCTCGGACTGAGGCGTTCGGTTCAGCGGCGGCAAGCAACGAGGGCGAACTGGCGCCCCCAGCAGGGCTCCCCCCCCAGGGTCTGGGAGTTCCGGGTTCGCATCGGGCGAGGAGGGGTGGGGGAAGCAGCTGGGGCGCTGACCCCGCGACGCGCAGGGCCTCCCAGGTGCAGACTCGAGTCTCGGGGAGCTTCTCACGCTGCGTTTCAAGATGCTGCTCGACAACATTCAGGAGATCAGATCGATGGAGGGCGAAATCTTGGACGCGTTCATTCTTCCCACGAGCTGCAAATTCGCGCTTGCGATGCAGGAGGAGCAGGAGGCGTTCGCAGAAGTGTCGAGCAGGAGAAGGAGGCGTTCGCAGAAGTGCTTGCGTTGCAGGAGGAGCAGGAGCAGGAGTGTCGAACCCAGAACGAGAGCAACCTCGACCTGCAGCGTCTCGGCTCTCAACGCGCGGTGATATCCGGAGATGTTTGGCGCGACCGCCGAAAGGCTGGCGGTGGGGGGCCAGAACGTCAAGAAACTCAATGGTGACTTCAACGAGTGCGAGATGCCGGAGGACGCGGAGCAGCTAGTCAAGATTCGCCGGCTCGCGGAAGCAGGCGCGCAGGGCGGAGTGAAGCTGGTCGTGGCTATCCAGAACTCTGGAGAACGCTGACGCTGCCCCCTCGGCGGACTTTGCCAGATCGGCGCGAGGCTCCTTCGCGGCAGCGCGCTGCCGGGGTGCGCGGGGGGTGGGGGGTGGGGGGCTGCAGGAGTGGGCCGAGTGGCTCGAAGGACGACCTCAGTGACGCGAGAGTGACTCACTCCAGTCGTGTGCAGCTACGCGACAGACTACGCAAGTCCTGCGATCGTCTACTTGCTCTTCGTTTGGTATGCGTGCTCTTTCGCGACAGTCCTCCCTGCGCGTTTCCTGAGATAGTCTACTGGCTTCTCTTTCGGTATGTGTGCGCGTGCTCCTGCGCGACAGCTTACGTGATTCCTGAGAGATGCTGCGTGTCTTTTTGGTACGTGTGCTCCTGCGCGACGCCCTACATAATTCCTGAACCCGTGAAATTGATGATGACTTTGTACATGAACTCCAACGCGACGGCCTCTGTGATCCCTGAGATAGTTGATATGTCTTTCTAGTACGTGTGCTTCGACGAGACAGTCTATTCGACTCCTGAGATAGTCCATGCGGTTTTCTGGCTCATCTTAGAGGCTTCGCCTCGCCGCAGTGTTGCGTTGATCAGGCCCCGAGCCCATGGTGAGTGAGTACGAATGGCACTTCTGCGTCGGCGCGCCCAGTCGAACGCGCGCACTGCGGTGCCCGGCCTCCTTTTGGCATGTGCGCGTGCGCGGAGTGCACCGCGGCGCATGCCGATTCCCGAGCGGACAGAGGGCTTTGGTGCTGTAGCTCCGAGCCCCCACCCCTGGAGCCCCGACTCTTGAAACCGTCCGGCGGCGTTATTGGCTTTACCGTCGTCGCCGCTATCATCGCCAGCACCATGGCTACTATTATCATTGTTGTCGCTGGTGTCGGCGTCATAATTGTATCGCGCCCGCCCGTGTCACCGACCCGCGCTGAAGTGCCCGCGCCAGCGCGGTCTTTGGGGCGCGGTGGGGAGTTCCCATCGGCAAACGCCATCGCCGCCGCATGTGTAGTGCCAAACCAGCTGGCCGCCCTGCGCGCGAGTTTGCGCGCGCCAGCGCGACGCTGGCCAGGGCCAAGCAGGCGCCGCAATCGCGGCCACATGGATTTGCCAAGCAAGTGACGGGTGGGTGGGTGGGATGTTTGCGCGAGCAGTGGAATCGCCATTTCATGAATTAGCACAGGTTATTGGAATTGCGTACCTGTAACCACATAGCTTGCATCACATAACTCACGCCACATAGAGCGCACAACATATATTTCACCGCCCTACTTTCACTGCATCCTGTGCGCAGCTCGTACCACATGTATTGCACCACGCAGCTTTCATTGCGGACCTGACACCACGTATACTGTACCACATATTTGGTGCCACGCAGCTTACGTTTCACAACCCACTTCACACATGTAAAATTACATAGCTTACACATCCACATTGCAACATCTCACTGTTTGGGGACCGCGTTGGCAGACAGTTTGATGAAGCTGATCTCATCACTTGATATCTCTTCGAGCCCTGCTGGCCCGGGGAAAGGCGGGAAAGGCGCTCCAGGCTCTTGGTGGGTGCTGCTCTCCTGGCGGTGTGGGCTCGTGCTCGTCGGCAGGGGTTCGCGGCTCCAGGCTCGCCCTTCTACTGGCAGGGCTTTCTCTATGGAGGGGTTGCTTCTCCTTTTCCTCCTCCTCTTTTTTCTCCTTATCTTTTTTGTTCTCCTCCTCCTCTTTTTTGTTTTCGTCGTTCTCGTCGTCCTTCTCCTCCTCGTCCTTTTCTCCGGCAGCTGCTTTTCGTCGAAAGAGCCTTCGCGGCGATCCCGGATCGTCCCGAGCGGCCGCCGGAGGCCCGAGTTGTGGCCCGAAGACCACTGGGGTGCAGCATGGCGGGCTCAGGCATGATGGGCCTGTTTTCCACCACTACCACCGTAGGTTGGAGGGGGAGGGGGTCTTCTTCTTCTTCCTTCCATCTCGTCCTCCTCCTCCGCGTCCACCACCTCATTCCCCCCTCCAACTTATGGTGGTGGTGGTGGAAAACAGGCCCATCACAGACAAGCCGCTGGGCGCGAGAGAGGGATATATGTATATAGAGAGAGAGGGATAGAGAGAGAGAGAGAGAGAAAGAGACGGAGACAGAGAAAGGTTGGTGACGGATTAGCCCTGAAGTGGGCGTGGTCTCGAGCTGCAAAGATGAGGGGGGAGGATGATGTCTGAAAGCGAGCCCAGGTCAGATGTCGCGACGTCTCTGCTCTGCTCCAGTATCTGCAGAAGCCCCAGGGTGCAGTTGAGGCGCGTGTCTCTCTCTCTCTCTCTGTTTGCGTCCTTGTCGCTGCCGCTGGCCCGCTATCGTTGACATGGCTGCTGTTGCGCGTGCCGCCACAGTCTGCGCTGTTGGCGCCGCAATCACTTGCAGCGATCGTTCGTGGCGCTGCTTTCGCTGTTGCCGCTTCTGCTCGCAGCCGATGCTCGGCCTGCAGTCCGAGTCAGCAGCGCATAGCGCATGCATATCCAAATATTCTGCCAGTGGTGTATGCATTCTTGTGGGGTCGGAGGCTTCATTATCTAATCGCTTCCCTCCTTGCGTTGGCACGTGCTCCATAATTGCAGGCACGTCCCTGTGCGCTCGCGGGGGCCGAGAAGGAGGAAGAGAAACAGGAGGAGCAGGAGCAGGAGGAGGAGGATGAGAAACAATGATACGAACTTATATCACATAATAGTAACATAATTAAGCCATAAGAATAACAATCACACAATGCATACTACAAGTGCTACTCATACTAGTATTACAAACAATATTACCCCAGTGCGACCCTATCTAGAAGTTGGAGCCCATAGGAAAGCAGCATTAGTTGTTATGATATGCTATGCTATGCTATACCATGCTATGCTGCGCTATGCTATGCTATGCTACGCTATGCTGCGCCATGCCATGCTATGCTATGCTATGCTATGCTGTGCTATGCTATGCGATGCTAAACTATGCTATGTCATGCTGCGCTGTGCTATGCTGCTATGCATGCTATGATATGCCATGCTAAGCTACGCTATGCTATGCTATGCTAGGCTATGCTATGTCATGCTATGCTAGGGTATGCTATGCTGCGCTATGCTATGCTATGCTATGCTTGGCTATGCTATGCTATGTTATGCTAATGCAGCGCTGCGCTATGCTAAGCTAAGCTAAGCTAACCCTCTAGGCAGAGCCTAGGTAGGGAATTACACCAATGCTAAGCTAAGCTAAACTAAGCTAATATGATATAAGCAACGCTAAACTAAGGGGACGTAACTTGGGAAACCGCGGGGCGGATACTGGGGGAACCGCCCGGGGCGCTTTCCACTGCCCGGCCCCTTTAAGCCCAGAGAGTAAGAACCCTTCTAGGCAGAGCCTAGGTAGGGAAAAAGCAGGAAGGAGACGACGACCGATAATAATAACACTTATACGAATCATATTAGTAATACTGATAGCACGAATCAGACTAGTAGAACAATACGATCACGAATGCGCATAAGACAAATAATACAATAATAATAATGAGTGTATTGGTACAAGTGAGACTAAGACGAATCAGAGAAAACAATAAGGCGAATACCATTCGCCTTACAGTTTGGGATATGCCTCTCGAAATCCGAAGGCATCAAGGGGGGGAAATCGGCCAGTGGGGCCCAGACCACGCCAGTAGGGATAGGGATCGGTTAAACCATGCTCAACGATCATGGGACTCGTCGACTGGGCCGAAACGGGTGTTCTGCACGGGCTGGCCCGGCCATCCCCCTCGACTCCTCACCCGGGCCCCCTGCAGCGGCAGAGACTCTCCCCCTCGGCACGGGCTCCCCCGACTCGGCAAGGCTGCTGGTGGTGCGACCGGGCCGATGGCACACCCCCCGGTGGCTCCCCCTTCGGGAGGCCCAAGTGATACGCGCGCTGCCTCGCAGGGGTTCGGGGCTCCGGAGGGACACTCGTCTGAGCGCGGGCGGGCCCGTGATGTACCCCATGGTGGTGGCTTCCTCTCGGGAGGCTCGTGCGCGGTGCCTGCTACACTCGGTGAGCACCGTGACTGTGGACGAATTTGAGTACGAGTGAGTCTGAGTATGGGTGCCTGAGGGTAGGCAGGTTTTATGGCGAAGGGTTTTTGAGTATGAGTGAGTCTGGGTATGGGTGAGTCTGAGTGTGAGCCAGTTTGATCTTGTGCGAGTCTCAGTCAAGGAGGATGCGAGAAATTGAGGGAAGGGGAGGCGGGAGTGTGAGGGTGATTCTGAGGGAGGCGGAGTATGAGTGAGTATGGGCATGGGTGAGTCTGAGAGTCCGAGTATTGCAAGGAGGAGGCGGAAGTGTTGCGGAAGAAGGTGGCGGAGGCCTCTCAGGAAAAATCATAGTCTCGTGAATCGAATATGAGGGGTCAGTGGTATGGAATGACCAGAATGATAGAAGATCTCTCGAGGACCAAAGTCTTGACCGCTTGAAGCTGAAGAGAGAGAACAAACGACGACCAGTGTGTACCCCCCCCACACACAGAGACACACACACACACGCACAGGAGGTTATTGCACCCCCGACGCGCAAGCACAGGGCATCGACCGTAGGGCACCGGTCACAGGGCACCAATACGAAGGCGGCGACCAGGAGATCACCACACCCGGTGGAAGCGGAAGCCATGAAGCCTCTCCGAAGACGAGGAGGCGGGGCCCACCGCGGAGGAGGAGGAAGAGGCCGGGCCCGTCCTCCTCTAATCTGTTTGGCTTTATCCTCGTGGTAGACCTGGACGTCTTCCACCTGCTTCTGATTCTTATACTCACTCTTAAGCTTCCGGGCGGCCATCATCAGGCGACACAATGAGAGCGCCAACCATAGGGCACCCGCCACAGGCAGGGCGTCGACCGGAACGTCACGACGACCGAGGTAATCGGAACCTGGGAATTTCTTGGGCGGCGGGCGGAATGGAATGGATGTAAGACACGCGCCTTCAAAGAAGCAGGAGTGCTTCCAAGAAGCCTCCCCCCCTCCCCCTACCCCCTCTCCTCGCTGCCAACCTTTCTATGGGCAGCGGCTATGGAGCACCAACCCCAGGCGCCAACCACAATGCACCAGAGGTGGTGACCAGGGGCACAGCAGCAGCCCAAGCGTGAATGTGCTCTGGAGCCGCAGGGGCGGCGACCAGAACATTCGCGGAATGCGAACCAGGTCGGAATCACCTGCGTGCAAGCATTGATTGGAGAAGTGTGCGAGTACCGGGTTCAATCACGAATTCTTGGTTTATGATGTTCCAATCTACTTTAGCCGTGATCACCAAAGAGAATTTACAGCACCGAGAAAGTATTGAAACTTGAGGGCTTTCACGTGTCTGGCCCTGGGAGACGATACTCGTTCGACACCGTTTCGATACTTTCCTGGGTGCTCGAACGTATTTACGGGATGTGGTCCTTGAGTGCGATGGGGGCAACATAATTTTTGGTGAAGTCTTGGCGTTAACGATCCTGGTGCGGAAATCTGGTTGGGGGGAGCATGTTCAGAGGGGGTGAGTTTTGATTGTCATCGCGTGCGCGAGGGGGGGTGGCAGCAGCGGCAGACTGAAGGAATCCATCATGTCATGTGGTAGATTATTAAAGCGCGCTTTAAAATATTGACAATGTTTTTATTTGCTACGTGCCACCAGAAATCCCAAACTTGCAGGACGCACGCCCGCCCCTTGAATCCCACCACCCACTACCACCACCACCACCACCACCACCACCAGCAGCACATACACTTCCCTTTTGGTGTCGCGGCAGCGACGCGGCGGAGGCAGCTCGGGCAAACACACACACACACACACAAACGCACAAACACACAAACACACAAACACACAAACAGACAAACACACAAACACACATAGAAACACACAGACACACAAACACACAAGCACACACAAACACACACAAACAGACACAAACACACAAACATACAAACACACAAACACACAAACATACACAAACGCACAAACATATAAACACACAACCACACAAAGACACAAACACACAGCCACACAAACACACAAACACACAAACTCAGAAACACAAACACAGACCCACAAAAACACACAAACACACAGGCACACAAACACACAAACACAACAAAATGCACAACCACACAAACACACAAACACTGAAACACACAAACACACAGACACACAAACACACAAACAAACACAAGTACACAACCACACAAACACACAACCACACGAACACACAAATACACAACCACACAAACACACAAGCACACAAGCACACACAAACACACAAGCACACAAACACACAAACACTCAAACACACAACCGCACAACCACACAAACACACAAACACACAAACACACAAGCACACAAACACACAAACACACAAACACACAAACACACAAACACACAAACACACACATACACAAACACACAAGCACACACAAACACACAAACACACAAACACACAAACACAACCACAAACCTATAAACACACAGCCACACAGCCACACAAACACACAAACACACAAACACACACAAACAAACACCCAATCGCACAAACAAACATACACACAAACACACAACCACACAACCACACAACCACAAAACCACACAACTGCACAAACACGCAAGCACACACACAAACACACAACCACCATACAAACACACAACCACACAACCACGCAACCACGCAAACACACAAACACGCAAACACGCAAAGACACACAAACACACACACGCACACACAAGCATACAAACACACAAACACGCAAACATGCAACCACACAAACACACAAACACACAAACACACAAACACGCACGCACACAAACACACAGCCACACAACCACACGACCACACAACCACACAACCACACAAACACACAACCCACAAAAACACAAAACCACACACAACCACACAACCACACACATACACACAAACACACACACACACAAACACACACACATACACACACAAGCACACACAAACACACAAGCACACAAACACACAAACACACACACGCACAAACAACGACACACAAACACAAGTGCACAAACACACACACAAACACACACACAACCACACAAACACGCAAACACACACGCACAAACACACAAACACACAAACACACAAGCGCACAAACACACAAACGCACAAACGCACACACACAAACACGCAAACACACAAACACACAAACTTACACACACAAACACATAAACACACACACAAACACACAAACACACAAACACACACACACATACAAACACACAATACACATAAACACACAAACACAAACACACAGACAC